TCCATTTTATCAGTCACCACTTTTATTTTTTCATCAAGAACAGAAGTAAATTTTTCTTCTAAAGAGAAGGCTTGCAGCTTTAAGGCTTGCTGCAAGGCTTCCAGGGTTAAAACTTGTGGTTCTGCTGGAGCTGTCAAAGATTGCGGTTTGGGTGGTGGAATAGGGGAGCTCACAGTAATTTTAGCCCCAGCAATCTTTATTTGCTTAGAAGCCATTTTCAAATTTTCAGTTCCAAATTAAAACTTTTACAGCAACCACTTCCAGAAGTTAACTCAATTTCCAATTAATTTCAGTCCTCAGTAAATTTAAATTTCTCTACAGTCCAATTTAATTCTTCTTTCTTTTGAGACCAGTCTCGTTTATTAGCAGCAGAAACTGTCAGTGCAGATGAGTACTTTGACGTTAACTTTCGCTACCACACCCAATTAAGGCTCGGTGCCATTTCCTTTCACTTTCTTCCCACAGCAATCTAGAAGGAAGTATTCAATACACAGGAGTTAAAGTTTAATACTTGCAATTGGAGTTCCTCCTGTCTTTGCTCTGCCTGCTTTGTATCCAAAATAGTGTTAAAATGTTGCAGGGATGGTGGCGGCGTCTTGTTCTGCTAAATGCAGAAGCGTCCCAGGTCCGGAGCTTGTGTCAGGCTTCTAGGGAGCTCTCACCCTTCGTGCCCCAGAATTGTTCCTGGGACTCTTGGGGAGCTCAACCCAAGCCTGGCTGCTCTCTTTCCCCTCTTTTCCTGAGGGGAAAACTTTCTAACTGCTAAACAGCTGTTTTTTGCTGTTTTAGCGGCTTTAACAGATCGCGGGGCTAGCGCCCCGAGAGGAGCTGCTCTCGACGACGCGTTGCCACTGGAAGTCCCTATAATTTGTTGATATGAAGGTTGGAGGCCAAGCATCTCTTTCAGAAAGCTTCAATTCCTGCATTGTGTCAACCTCAAAGCCTATGAGGCAAAGTTTACCAAGGTAATAAGACATCATCAGAATTTCAATTCTTGAGGACTTCCGGTTTGGCATCACGGCAAGACAGTTGGGGAAATAGTGGGCTCTGATGAGCTCTGCGAAAACCCCGGCTGCTGAACTGCCGCCGATGGGTCTTCAGACCGGAACCATCCTGCAGGGATGAGGGAAAAGGAGGGGCACCTCGGACAACCAAGAGGAACAGGCAAGTTCCTCGGAGGTCAGAAGGAACCCTCTGTGAGTCGGCGGCGGGGGGCAGCAGCCATGGCAGTTACCACGAAGCTGGGACAACCAGGCAAGAAATGTGCTAGAGGAAAGTGGATAGAAATGGAGCTCTTTGAGACTGGGTGAGTGACAACCAACCCAAGCTAGAACAATGCCCAGAACAAAATTAACATCTATGAGACCTCTAGCTATAAAATAGCAGCTGAATAACAAAGGGGCTGAAAGTTTAAAATGTTACCTTAAAGAAACAAAGACCCAATAAACAACTAAGTTTTGAATAGAACTAAAGGAATTAAATATCAAGATATGGGACAAAGACTGGATATTTTAAAATTTGAATTGGATTTTTTTTTAAAAAAAAAAGAAGATTGGATACTTTTAAAATTAAAAAAAGAAGAAATAAATTGGTTTGTTACATAATAGCACAAAATGGGTACTTGCATGACTAATGGAAAATGTGGATTGTAGAGGGACACCATCTGGTTCAAAAAGGAACTTTGTAACTCTTTTCTGCTATGGGAAATTTTGAGTTCTACAGATAAAAGTCTTGGGATCTTGCTGAGGAGGGGTTTTTTCCCTGTCTGCAGGCAGCTTGACTTTTGTGAAAAGAAAAGGAAATTATAATGGAACTCCTATAGTTGAAACAATAATAACTTAAAAAATTGGTGCAGGAATAAAAGAAGGACTAAGCGCAGGCCCAACAGAAGATTTGATATATTATATCTGGAATAAAAATAACAAAAAGATATAATATGACTTATGGAGGACAAAATTGAAAACTTTGAAAATGGAAAGAAATATATGTTTGCAGGTGAGGAGATGAAGAAATAAGATAAACACGACTGGAAAAAGAAAAAGAAGATTGAAACAATGTGATTAAAAATAAAACAATGTACAGGTGGATTGTAGTAATAAAAAGAAGGTTTTTACAGAAATTAAGAATGTTAAAAGGAAATTATAAACATATCTAAAGGTATGTTTGAAGTAAGAATTATGTGTTAATGTTAAATTGGTTTGAAAAAGGATAACAATAAATATGGTTAATTTAAAATGTTAAAAGGAATTTATAATTTAAGGTATATTTTAAGCAAGAACCATGTCTCAATGTTAAATTGTTATGAAAAAGAATAAGGATAAATATGATTAACTGAAAATAAGCAATGTATAGATGGATGGAAACAACAAAGAAAGGATTAAGTAGGGATAGTTAAACCAACTATGATTATGCTGTGTTTAACAGCCAAAAAATAAAAATAGATATACTGTGTAACAGCCAGAAAATAAGCCATTGTATCTTCTTGAGCTTTGTCATGACACTTATTTATTCAGAAAAGATTTTGATTCATGGATAATCTATAAATAGACATGAACAATAAAAATGGTGAAATAGATAAACTGTTTAGAATTATTTTTTAAATGACATTGATTGATAATAAGATTGTGTTAACAAAATGATACAAAAATGTTATGGCATACACTGCCACCTGTTTAGATTATTATTATTTTTTATTTTAGTTTTGCAAAAATAAATGAAGAATGTACAGGTAGTTGTTACACAATGTTGGTAATCAGGATCAGCAACTTTGTTGCTAAATTATTTTGGTGAATTCTTCTCCTTTTTTTTCTAAGTAGGTTTTTAGAAAATAAAAACTACAAGTGGTCTTCAACTTATGCCCACAGTTGAGCCCAACATTTGTATTACTAAGCAAGATAATTTTAAGTGAATTTTGCCCCGTTTTATTACCTTTTTTGCCACAGTTGTTAAGTGAATCACTGCAGTTGTTAAGTTAATAACACAGTTGTTAAGTGAATCTGGCTTCCCCATTGAATTTGCTTGTCAAAAAAAATCACAAAAGGTGATTACATGACCTGGGACATTGCAACTGTCATCAATATATGCCAGTTACCAAGCAGCCAAATTTTGATCATGGTCATGATTTGATCATGATCAAATTTTTACTATGGGTATGCTGCAACAGTCATAAGTGTGAAAAACAGGCATAACTCACTTTTTCCAGTGCCATTGTAACTTTGAATGATCATTAAACAAATGGTTGTAAGTCGAGGACTACCCATGTTTTGGTATTATTTTTGTTCACAATAATCGTTCTGCACCTGAGCTAATGTGTTAGTGGGTCCCTGCTGTGCATGTATTTTATTGTAATGGCTGTTTTTGTTGGTATTTTTAGTTCTGTTATGTTACTAATTGTTTTAAATTTTATTCTGGATGTTGTATGCTACAGAGTTTTGGAATGTAGTGGCTTTAACAAATTAAAATACTAAGATGATGATAATGATGATATAATTATTTGTTGTTTTATTTTCACAATCATTGCTCTGCATGTAATGTCATTGCCATTAATTGCATGGCCGTTTCATTTTGTTTACTGGTAGTTATAATTTGTTGTAATTTGGAAACTTTTCTTTCTTTTCTTCCTTTATTTGGTGTTCATTGTCAAGATAGAGAAAAAAAGTTAAGCTAATCTTGAATTATCAATACTGAGACATCTATTTCTTCTTAACTCTTCTTCGTTTACATTATTTTAAAAAAACCATAAGAGGAAATTGTTAGTTTTATTCCATGACAATCTCCATGACAACAGTCTAATTAATCCCCATCAATCTGGCTTTGGTTCTCTTCACTGAACTTGTACTCCCCAGCTTCATTTCATGTGTCATATCTGCTAAGCACTGGATGAAGGTCACTTGTAGGTATGGTTATTCTTCATGAAAAACATCATTTAATGTATGTAAGCATTCTTCTTACTAGCTGGTTCTTCTTTCCTTTTTTTGTTACCAGTGAATATTTTCTATTCATCGTGTTTATGTATTACTGTCCATTATTTATAGAAATGAGCTAACAGATAAACTAACAAATTAAACAAAAATGCTTATGTAACACCAGTGGCTAATTTCTTTTGATTGTGGATGAATCAAACATGCATCTCTCCCAACATTGTTTGCATTAAAAATAGTCTTTGACTTACGACCACAATTGAGCCCAACATTTCTGTTGCTAAGCGAGACAGTTGTTAAGCAAACTTTGTCCCATTTTACAACCTTTCTTGCCACAATTGTAAAGTGAATCACTACAGTTGTTAAGTTAGTAGCCTGGCTATTAAGTGAATTTGGCTTTCCCATTGACTTTGTTTGTCCGAAGGTCACAAAAGGGAATCACATGACCCAGGACATTGCAACTGTCATAAATATGAGTTAGTTGCCAAGCATCTGAATTTTGATCACATGACCATGGGGATCCTGCAATGGTCATAAGTGTGAAAAACGGTCATAAGTTATTTTTTTCAGTGCCATTTTAACTTCGAAGGGTCTAAATGAAATATTGTAAGCAAGGACTATCTGTACCTGGTTCATTTATAAGTGACAGACTGAATAATCTCTTTGGAAAATTTTGTTTTCATTTTTCAACCCAATTTATTTTTATATTTTATAGCTAGCATTTCTTTATTAGTGTTAGGATATGGTGTAAACCTAACAAGTTGTCCAGGCAATATATGTGTGCTACAACTTTACATGTATTCTGTAACTTTAAGATGTAATGTTGAGTAATTGTACTGATGAGTCATTGCACTGCTGACTTCATTTATCTTAAGTGGATAATTACTAGACTATTGAAAGGAAGGTGAGCTGGCATGCAAAAGTGCTTCTCATATTATGCATGCATATAATGTAATGTGGAAAAAAAAGAAAATGGTTCTGTTTACTCTTAAGGTGTTTTGTTTTCTCCAGAATGGTCATTCAGAATGTAGTAGGAAATTTCTTCTTTTTATTCCTTCCCTCCCTGTCTACTTTCTCAAGATTGCTTTGTACACTGTATTTTGGCCTTGTTCTGTGAATTCGTCACCCTCTGTGGCCTCATCCTGGAGCAAACCTCATGTAGAATCTGCCCATGGGTGGCCTGCTGCTGTGGGGAAGAAATGGGAGATGACTGCAACTGCCCATGTGACATGGACTGTGGCATTATGGATGCCTGTTGTTAATCAGCAGACTGTTTAGAAACCTGTATGGAATGTTGTGGGATTTGTTTCCTATCATAAGTTTTTGTTTATTCTGGTTTTTGTTGTTGTTGAGTTTTTAAAAACGAAAGAGGGCTGTTCTCTGCATCTCTCTATTTCTAAGAAAGTCTTTCAAAAGACACTATTAAATGTCCTTGCAGCAACCTACTACACACTATTAATCTCAGTGAAAAATTGAAGAGAATTTTTGAATAGTAGGCCATAAAGAATAAATGCAGGACAAATCGCTAGAGATGTGCTATGTTCCTTCTTGTTTCAAATGCTCTACTATCATCCCAGTGCCAAAGAAGCCCACCATCAAGGAACTGAACAACTACAGACCAGTTGCTCTAACATCTGTAGTTATGAAAACCTTTGAAAGGCTAGTGCTGTCTCACTTGAAAACCATCACGGATCCGCTGTTGGACCCCATGCAACTTGCATACTGAGCAAATAGATCAACAGATGATGCTGTTAATATGGCTCTGCACTACATCCTACAACATCTTGAATCTCCAAAGACCTAGGCAAGGATCCTCTTTGTAGACTTTAGTTCAGCATTCAACACCATCATTCCAGACATTCTTCTAACTAAGCTAAACCAGCTAGCAGTACCTGAACACACTTGTAAATGGATCATAAGCTTCCTAACAGACAGGAAGCAGCAGGTGAAGCTAAGCAGAATCACATCAGATACCTGTACAATTAGCACAGGGGCCCCACAAGGCTGTGTGCTCTCTCCACTTCTCTTCTCTCTATATACCAATGACTGCATCTCAAACGATCCATCTGTTAAACTACTGAAGTTTGCAGATGATACAACATTGATTGCTCTTATTCGAGACAATGATGAATCTGCATACAGATGGGAGGTTGAACAACTAGCCTTGTGGTGCGACCAGAACAATCTGGAACTGAATACACTCAAAACTGTAGAAATGATGGTGGACTTTAGGAGAAATCCTCCCATATTACCACCTCTTACAATACTAGACAACACAGTAGAGACCTTCAAATTTCTAGGTTCTACCATATCTCACGACCTAAAATGGATACCCAACACCAAAAATGTCATCAAAAAAGCTCAACAAAGAATGTTCTTTCTGCGCCAACTCAGAAAGCTCAAACTGCCCAAGGAGCTGTTGATAAAAATTCTACAGAGGAATTATTGAGTCTGTCATCTGCACCTCTATTACTGTCTGGTTTGGTTCTGCAACCCAACAAGACAGACACAGACTTCAGAGGATAATTAGAACTGCAGAAAAAACAATTGCTACCAACCTGCCTTCTATTGAAGACCTGTATACTGCAGGAGTCAAAAAGAGGGCTGTGAAATATTTACAGACCCCTCGCATCCTGGACATAAATTGTTTCAACTCCTACCCTCAGAACGATGCTATAGAGCACTGCACACCAGAACAACTAGACACAAGAACAGTTTTTTCCCGAACGCCATCACTCTGCTAAACAAATCATTCCCTCAACATTGTCAAACTAGTTACTAAGTCTGCATTACTATTAATCTTTTCACCTTTCCTATCACCCATCTCCCACTTATGACTGTATGACTGTAACCTTGTTGCTGGTATCCTTAAGATTTATATTGACTGTTTCCCTATGACTATCATTAAGTGTTGTACCTTATGATTCTTAACGAATCTATCTTTTCTTTTATGTACACCAAGAGCATATGCACCAAGACAAATTCCTTGTGTGTCCAATCACACTTGGCTAATAAAGAATTCTATTCTATTCTATTCTATTCTATTCTATTCTATTCTATTCTATTCTATTCTATTCTATTCTATTCACACAAATGAAACAATTTGATGGCTGTATCTGGAAAAAGAAAGAAGGGATAACTTCTTTGAATTTTTGTTATTTGATCTTTCTTTTTATAGCTGGACAATCAAACAAGAAAATTTATTTTAATGATTCTTGTTTAGAGAAATTTGTAATTGTTTTCAAGCAAATACAACAATATTTTATGTTAACTGGAATGCAAATTAATTTATCTGATCTAGTCATATTATTAAGGCCTGAAGAATAATCTTGTTCATATTTTATAGTACAGTCTTGTTCGTGTCTATTCTAAGTAATGACTGCAGTTTTAAAGTACTTCTATAATTTTTGCATACCTTATGTAATATTGTAAAGAGAGCAGCGTAGTGGCGTAGTGGTGAAGGCGCTTGCCTCCTACATGGAAAGCTGAGAGTTCAATCCTAGGTAGTGGCAGATGTTTCTGTCCTAGTACAACATATCTGCTGCAAACGCCACATAGGCATCAGGAAGGGCATCCAGCCATTAAACGCTCAACTCCATCCAGTCAGTCTGACTCTACCACAAATTAAGAGACTACAAGGTCACAAAAAGGGAGTATGTAATATTATAAAGAGTTAGGTTGGTTTGTCCTTCATCTCCCTCATCTGGATGATAAACAGTAAAGTCAATAAATTTAAGTAAATAATCAAGAATGAGGGAAAACAGTTTATATTGAAAGAAAATGAAGCTAGATGTTCAAAAAATGCTTTTCCATGCAAAGAATAAAAAAGGTTTAAATAGATTTTTAGAAAACTTCCAATAGTGTATGAAACCATTATGCAAGAGATTTAAAAACTATATTTAGATTTCATACAGTATTTGAAGTTGTTTAATGGAGAAGGAATATATTTAGAAAAAGGTAATACATATCTTGATTTAAATATTCCTGAATTCTTCTCATGGAGTAGTTAAAATCTAGTCCAATGTTTTTAATAAATAACAGAATTTTCCATATCTTGGAATATTATGTGTATTATGTCTCTTGGAAATGTTATTGTAACTAATAGCTTATATATACTATAGAGATCCTTTTAGCTGTTCTCATTTATGTCAGTATTTTCTTGATCTCAATCAATTATTAATTATTTCTATTTAAAGAATAACCCATTTTATGATAAATAAAAATTAAAATCTCAATTAGAAATAGTGATTTATCAATAATTGCTGCTAAGTTTTTAGTGGCAAGAAAATTTACAGTATTCTCAATGTACCTGCTTGCATATGTTGAAAATTAAGTTAACTGTTCTTATTTCATAGAATGCTGCAACGATTGTTTCATTCCCAGGAGGGCCTACTGTTTGATTTTTCATGATCTTCACTTATTTTTTGGTCTTCGATAGATATGAAATATCTTTTGATAAAATTCTTTGATCTTGAGTTTTAGTGCATTGGCAAATGAGTTAGGGGAAGAGCAGGAGTATCTTCTGCCCAACCCTTTGATTCTGAAAAATGTGGGTGGATGCAGTGTCATTTATACTGACAGAATTTAAAGAACATTGTATAACCAACATTTTAAACAAAGTTTAAACAAAGTTTACATTGAGTAAACAAGATCAATCTATATGCCCTTAATTATAAATTTTGAAAAGTTAAAGCACATTTGTAAATGAGAGAGGCATTCTTTTCCTTGGGTTATTGGTTTCTTAAGCATATCTCTCTATTATTATGGCAAGCAGGAGAGATTTGTTACATATTGGAAGATCTTTCCTATTACAAAGCAAATAGCTGGACATAATCTTTGGATAAAAGGGAATATACTGTGCCCTGAGCAGTCTGCTTTCAGCCATCTATTTAATGCCACACAATTATGTTTACTTCATTATTTAAAATGGATTAGTATTGCCAAACAAACATTACAGATCATTAGATGGAAGGAAGAACAAATGTACTAATTTTGTATTTAAGGTATGCTACCTTAAGCATTGCTAAACTTTGCCTTTTTAGAATGGGATTGTATATTAACTGCCTGTTAATTCAGACAAATACCAGTAAATAACTTTTGTGGCTAGTCTAGTACTATGTTTATCTGCTAAGACTACATTTTTATCTTCTTGTTGCTGGGGCATTTGCCATTTTTTGCTCTGTTGAGTACTTCAAAATTGCATAGAATATTATGTCATTTTGAAATTAAAAATATACTACCATCCCATCATAGAAACTGATTTTAATTTTTTAAAGCAAATGCAAGGAAATGTATATACTTTTCTAAAATGTCAAACTACTTAAATATAATAATTCCATATGTATTCTTCAAATGGGTATATTTTTATTAGTACCTACTTCATCTGTAAAAGTAGAAGTCTTCAGCTGAAACAGGAAGTTTCCATTAAGTTTAATTTTCTGTGGACTTTCTAGTCATGATTGTGTGTGTGTTTGTATTTACTGTATATTTGTGATGGTGGAAGGAAGGAATCTTTATTTATTTTATTTTATTTTATTATTCATATTTCTATGCTGCCCACTCTCCGAGGACTCTGGGCGGCTTACACCATAGACAGTATACTAAATAGCATATTGCCCCCAACAATCTGGGTCCTCATTTTACCCACCTCGGAAGGATGGAAGGCTGAGTCAACCTTGAGCCGGTGAGATTTGATCCGCTGATCTGCTGAACTAGCAATCAGCTGAAGTAGCTGCAGTACTGCACTCTAATCACTGTGCCACCTTGGCTCTTATTAATTTTTTTAATAATAACTTTTATCAAGTATTACTTTTATGCATATAAAAGTTAATACAAACTACTAATAGAAGAAAAAAGTGAAGAAAACTATGTAATATAACTTCTATTTTTCTGTAGGAATAATTTTGAAACACAACTATTTTGTTTATTTTTTTTAGTTACTTTACTTCATTTCTCTAACTCTTCTACAGTATAGCTATATCTTAGATTGTAAAAGCCTGAGACAAATAATATTTCAGAAAAAATAGTTACTTTATTCCTGGAAGTGATATATCCCACATATATGTTTCTTCTACTCCTTTCAATTTGGTTTAGAAAATTGTGTCAGAATGATAGACAACACATTACCCTTGATTTATTAACCACAGTTATCCGCCAGTTCGTAATTGACTGACTCATGCACATTGAATTGATTAAGTAACTCCACTATAATTGAGTAAGTTAGGGGAACCCTGCTTTTCTAGGGAAAAATGCATGTTAAAGGTGGTCTATGACTCTTTGGTCTGATATAGTGGTTAAAGCACCAAGCTATAAAACAGGA